AATTAGAAGAAGAAGGGGGTTTGAATCTAAATCTCTTGTTTTGGTAACAATTAGGGTTTTGGATTATGATGAGCTTACGTAAGTCAATTCAATAGAGGAAACCGTAATCTAGGGCTTAGAATGACATTCACAATTTTTTTTCTGAGAAATTCATTTACGATTAATATGTCAGTTGCATATGCTACAATCTAATTTCAAAATTTGGGAAATGCTACGAGAAGTTTCAGCTTAATCCTTTTCTGCTTAACTGTTACGTCTGTGTGAATTTAGGCTCATTTTTACGACCTTACGAGTAGGGCTTCTCCTTGACTTTTTTTCAGATTTGAAATGAGTATTTCTAGTTGTCTTGGTAGTCCAAAAGTGTGTACATTTTTCTTGTTGCGATATGCCTGTGCTTGTTATTTCACCAGGAGGCTATGCTTTTTTTTATTATCAACTATGGCTTTTAATTCATGGTTAATGTTGGTATTTTCCTCGAAATGATTTGGATAAAAGTAGAGCCCATTTGTTTGATTTGGATGTTATGATGGATAATATTCTTTTGTGATCATAGTAAAAGGAAAATAAGCCTATGGATACCCGTAAAAAATGTTTGCAGAAAATAGTTCTGTCTTTATTGACATTTACCATTTCTGAAGTGAAGTGAATTTTCTGTTTCTGTTATATTACTTGTTTTGTTGGTGCACAATCTGGAATACTTATAGCAAAATTAGTATTTCTGACTGGCCATTCAGTTATCCATGCTATCCTTTCTTTATTTGTTAAAGAAGGCGTCTAACTTTTGATCCCTGTGCAGGTTTGTGTAAGGTCATTTCAATTTCCTGGTACTGATGGCGGAACATCTAGCTTCAATATTTGGCACAGAGAAGGACAGGGTCAACTGCCCCTTTTACTTCAAGATTGGTGCTTGTCGTCACGGCGATCGATGCTCTCGCCTCCACAATCGCCCAACAATTTCCCCCACCCTCCTACTTTCCAACATGTATCAGCGACCGGACATGATAACCCCTGGTGTTGATGCCCAAGGTCAGCCCATTGACCCAAGAAAGATACAAGAACATTTTGAGGACTTCTACGAAGACATTTTTGAGGAACTCAGCAAGTTTGGTGACATCGAGAGCCTGAACATCTGTGATAACCTAGCAGATCACATGGTGGGAAATGTCTATGTCCAGTTTAGGGAGGAGGAGCAAGCAGCCGCAGCTCTCCGGGCTCTTCAAGGTCGGTTTTACTCTGGACGCCCGATAATTGTAGATTTTTCCCCAGTTACTGACTTCAGGGAAGCTACCTGTCGTCAATTTGAGGAGAATAGTTGCAACCGAGGTGGCTATTGTAATTTCATGCATGTGAAACAAATTGGACGGGAGCTAAGGAGGAGGTTGTTTGGGCGCTATAGGCGGTCCCGTGGGAGCAGGAGCCGGAGCAGGAGCCCAAGTCCTTACTACAGAAGGAGCCACCGTGATCATGGGCATTCTCGTGATCGTGGGGACTACAGAGAAAATGGGAGGAGGAGCAGTGATCGTCACTCGAAGTATGACAGTGATCGAGGGGACTACCGAGACGATGTGCGGAGGAGCAGTGATCGCCATGCAAAGTATGACAGTGATGGAGGAAGGCGGCGGCATGAGAGTCCGGTCAGGGAAGGGAGCGAGGAAAGGAGAGCATGAATTCAGGTTAATTTTCTCCAAGTCTAGCTAGCATATTGGTCTATCTGTAGGATTCACTACTGTTTGATTTTTCGTTTATGGTCACTATGTGATGATGGTTTGCACTACTTTTTTATGCATGTGATGAACACTGTGGTTTCCTTTTGTCTTCCTTTGTTTGCATGCCACTATGAATCTTGGTGGATTATCAGTATTTAGCCTGCTACTATTTGACCTGTCTTGTACGTAATGTAATCTATTCCTTGATGCATGGTACTATGAATCTTGGTGGATTATCAGTATTTAGCCTGATACTATTTGACCTGTCTCGTACCTAATGTAATCTATTCCGTGTTGCATGGGTTCCTTTATTTCTTCTTTGTGTTTTATAGGTTTTTTCCAGTGATTTTATACCACTATGATTGTCTGACTTGTAAATGTCTTGTCGTGCTCCTTCGTTTGTAGAAAAGGTTGAATGGTTTAATCGCATCAGTGGTTACCATTGAACTTTCAAACTGTATTATTGTCTAGTTGGCAGAACTGTTAAAATTTTCCTCATTTTGACATTTTGTAGAGTTATCATATATTATTCGCGATGTCATGTTTCTGTGCTTTATTGAAGTGCAAACTGAGGGCTTTATTTTGTGAATATTTGTATCCTGGAAGATCTTTAATAGTAGGCAGTAAAATAGCCAGTGCTGACTTTTTCACTACTTTTTCTAGTAGTCAACTAGTACAACTAGACATCATAGACCCTTTTGTGAGTCTGCAATCTCATCTTTGATCTCTCAATGTATTGTTGCTATCTCACATCATCCCTTGAAAAGCTCATGGAACATCCTATTAATACTACCATTCAAGTATGACTTTTCTGAAGGGTTACAACTTATAACACATTTTTTGCTTTCTCTAGATATCCAATAGAGGCTACAATCCATTAGAGTAGATCAATTCCTAATCCATGTGTAAGCTTTCCATTCTTTTATATACAAAGATAATATTACTTGCATTGCTTCATCTGAATCTCTGATAAGGCTCTTCCTCATTTTTTCAGTTCCAGATGTGGGTGAACAGGAGTAGAAATAGAAGAAAAATCAACACTTCCTCTACTGAGGGAATATACATCTCTCTTTAACTCGTTTACTTTTAAGAAGTATTATTTGTCCTTCTGTTCATGCTTGCACTAATTCACCAGAAAACATCTATAGATGTTTTTTCTGCTTCATTGTTTGAGTTTTGGACCTACTTCTAAGTGATAGGTGCAGAAAACGAGCTATTTTTTGCATTGCTTCATCTGATTCTCTGACAAGGCTATTCCTCATTTTTTTTCAGTTCCAGATGTGGGTGAAGAGGAGTAGAAATAGAAGAAAAATCAACACTTCCTCTACTGAGGGAATATACATCTCTCTTTAACTCGTTTATTCTGAGGGAATATACATCTCTCTTTAACTCGTTTACTTATAAGAAATATTATTTGTTCCTTCTGTTCATGCTTGCACTAATTCACCAGAAAACGAGCTATTTTTTGGACCAATTACTTCCATTCCTAGGTGTACACAGAACTTTTCTTTGCTTCTTTTCCTTCTTTATGCAATATGCCTTGCTGAGGTTTCAGAACGTTGCATATTTTTATAAAAAGTGCATCTGAAGCGACACCAAGTGTTTTGATTAGTTCTTTCCTAGCCATATATATCATGTTTATGCTTCCAAGTTCTCTTTGCTTCCAAATTTCCTTTGGACCCACATGATGAAATATTCAAGTCTTTCAGAAGTTCATTTTCCCGCTGGTTTATCAAATTGGTTGGTTTGCCAAAAATATGCTATTTCTTGGTATTTTTTTTTTGCTGAGTCTTGTCTTTTAAAATTTGTAATGTTCAGAAGGTGCGTGTTCATTCCAGATGTCTACATTGTTGACGTGTCTGCTCCAAGTTTGTAACCCTAAGGTTTTTCTGGGCTCTGTCCATAAATACATGTCCATTAGCTATTTCCTTGCCCAATGTCCTAGCTGAAAGTTATTCCATTTGCTGTATCCATGTGTTGCTTTCTTTCTTCTTCGAAAATGCTATGTGTCACTGTACACACATACACACACGTCAGCCTCCCCATTCACACTATCCTGTTCTGTAGCTAATATCTGGCGCCTCCTTTGCCTCCCTCTGGCCTTCTTCCATTATATGCAAAATGTGAAAGTTCGTATATTTTCATTCTAAGTGGTAGACTTAGTTATCGTTTCTGATGATTGACATACCCTTTTCTCTTTGTTGTGCTAGCTAGGGGGCTTCCTGCTGTGAGCATATCTGATGTCACATGTTGCTTCCTATGATAACTCTCTCTATATGTGGTAAGAGTGAAACTAATTTGACTAAGGAAATGTATTATCTTATCTAGGGTTTTCTTACCATTTGCTGTTTCATGTATAGGTGTGCAGAAAAGTAGACATAGAGGGAGCATAAAGAAAGAAACAGATGGAGTGTGTGATAACTGAGAAGATGACTTTTTTCCTAAGTGTTTTTTTCAAACATCACTAGGCCATAATAAAATTCACAGGTCATTTATAACAGGTCATAAATTCTAAAGTATATAAAGACATTAATCCCGCATAACGTTGCTTTTTTGACTTTCTTGCTAATGTTTTACTATTGATTTTTCGAAAATACAAAATGGGAATTTAATATTTGTTTTATATGTAGCTTTCCCTTTTGGATTTACTTATTTACAAATCTATATCTTATACGTGACATTTTATTGCGCATATTCCTATGAACAAAATCATTAAAATAAATCCTTTTTATTGTTCTTTTTACCATTTGGATATGTTGTGCGCTAGTTCTATTTTAAATCTGGTGCGCAACCCATGTTCCTTGAAGCTTATTAAAGATTCAAGTTACGTAACATTTTGTTGTGAACTGGCTCCCCTTCAAGGGGCTTTGGTCCACCATATTTTTAGGAAAACATGGCTCCAAAAATTTGTTTGGACCAAAATATTATTTGTTTATAGGTAGTGGTAGGCCCAGAATGTGTTACTACTTGCATCTGGGGCCTCAGTTGTGTTCAAAATGAGAGAGCAGTAACACTTTCATGAAAAAAATTAAATAAAATAAAAAATTGACTCGTCTTATAATAGGTGATATTCGCAATTTATTTGTTAAAGATTTTAAAGGTCAAGTTAGTCATTTAGACATTTTTGAGAAGTGGTTTTTAGCGTGGATTCTACAACTACAATAAATTGCATTTGGACTGCACTATAACTTAGAAAGGAACTTGGGTTTTATAGTTTGGTTTACAGGAGCATGTGATGGGGTACGGGTGATGGACTTTCTATAATACAATATTTCTAATATTGACAATGCAGGAAAATGAAAATGTGTCATAATAAGTAGATAAAATTTATACCACAGATTGTCTGTCAAGATTCCTACGTTTATATTTACACGGTGACTCGTTAAGCATAAGTTGGAGAGTGGCACCTAGAAAGGCGTAAGTTTTTTCTTAGTGGCGGTCATACACGTTGACTCATTAAGCGAATGTTGGAGAGTGGCACCTAGAAAGGCGTGAGTTTTTTTCTTAGTGGTGGTTATTCCTGATGTCCTCCAAGTTGCTCAATGGGATTGTGTGAATGATACTGACGAATTTGGTTTAGCTGCATATGTTTTAGGGTTAGTTTTTATGTATAAGACAGGAAGATAGGCTGTGGAGTATCTCAGCTGGAGTGTACTTGTTACCCTTCAATTTATGATGGATTTGCTGTTACTATGTGAGCTTACGCTATGTGAGTATCATCTGAGTCTGTTGATGATAATTAATGGGTAACTTGTTTAAGTGTTCTGTTGTTTTTTGGTGAACTATTTCTCTGTAACGGTTGGAAGCATAGTTCCTGGTTTATTTTGACTGTTTATTAAGTGTTCTTTTGGAGTGCTTATCACCCTTCAATTTGTGATGGATCTGCTGTTACTATGCGAGGTTACGTGATTGTGAGTATCATCTGAGTCTATTGATGATAATTAATTCGATAGCTTGAGCATAGGCTTGTGTATTGCTTCCTTCAAGCTTCCACAGTGAGTAGTCCCGACGTTCCTTCTGCAAACTTGAATTCTGTTGAGATCTTCTATTTTCTTGGGTGTTTGGTGTGATTAGTTTCTAGGTTATTTTGACTGCTTAAGAGTTATAGCTTGTGCATGTTATTTATTACCCAAGAGCTTCCTTCAACGACAATACCACCCTGAATAGCTGTGACACACGTTACTTTTGCGAATCTGAAATCTGTTGAGATCCTCTGTTTTCGTTGGGGTGTTTGGTATTTAGTGAGTGTAGATTTGAGATGTTTTATGCTCATCGCACTCTACAGGCGTGCTGCTGCGCAGTATGAGATGACCTTGGGTTTTATTTGCTGCAGTCTCTTATTTTTAGTTTGTTTTACTGTGTAGGATTGGCTAATCACTGCGACGTTATTTTCATTGCTTAATCGACAATCCAGGCATGTTGATACAAGCTGATTTTACCAGCTATTCCTCATTAGTACTTCCCAATAACCCTTGGTTAAGGGTTGATAGAAATATTACCCTTGGTTAAGGGTTGATAGAAAATTTACCAGTTATTCCTCATTATCCTGTGTCTGTTCTTCTCGTGTGTTTTAGGGGGATTCTTCCATTTTGACTGGTGTGACTTGCGTGGGAGAAACAGAGGGAAAAAAAAACCAACTCGCATCGGCTGGGGGAAGACGAAGGGTGGTGGTAATTTTTTTTTTTTTGAAGTAAAAATAGGGTGAGATATCCTATTCAAAAGTGTATTAATAGAAATAAGATCTCATGAAGCATACCCTTTTTACCAGTGGCGTAGCCAGAAATATTTTTTGCTCTGGGCGAAAACTAAAGGTGGTCAGCGATGAGGGACTTGAAGCGACGGAGGAGGGAGAGGAGCTCGGTGAGGGAGAGGAGGGAGGCGCGGGAGAGGGAGGAGGGTTGGGGATTGTTGAGATGGAGGTCCTGGAAGAGGAGGGAGAGGAGGTTGGATCTGTGGAAGAGGAAGGTGAAGTGGCCGGAGAAGAAGGGAAGCGAGGGGAGGCGGGAGGGGGAGGTGAAGTGGGGTAGTTTCTTGCCCTGGCTACGCCCCTGCTTTTTAACTGAACCAAATTCGGCGTAAAAACGAAGGAGAGTATAAAATTCAGAAACCACATCGCTATCGCATCAGATCTATATGAAAGAAAAATAAATGAAAAACCCTAAAATTCTTCAAAATGGATAATAAAAGAAAGGCAGTGGTCCCGATTGGTTCATTTTAGACTAATAAATTAATATCAGAAAGCCCCTTAACTTTGGATACTACCAAATAAACTCCCGTAACTTTCAAAATTTGAGAAAACTCTCTTAAGTTTAGGGCTTCTGGAAAACCCCTTTAGACTTTAAGATTTCTTTGGAGTTTCTAGATGCCGAGGGTTTCCGAGTATTGGGGGTTTAAACGGGTGGATTTCAGGTTGTGACTGTGTAAGATCAGACCCTAACCCGATAAGTTATTGGATAGGTTTCGTTTATGCTCCGAGTTCGTTCACATTCTCATGCTGAAGCTCAAAAGCTTCCGAAACCAGTTGTTTCATGATTTAGTTTAACCAGTTGTTTCATGATTTAGTTTATGTGTTGTTTAAAATACGTAAGTGTTTTATGTATATGCGAAATATCCTTGCGTATTGTGCTTGTCATCAAATACTTTTTATTAGATTCTTTTAGAGTGTCCATAGTTCTCCTTCACCATTAACTCCCTCAAGAGGATTTGGATCCTCTTCACTATAAAAAAATAGTGGAGAGACCACTGCTTTTAATCTCAATCATTGATTATTTAGTAGGCGGTTATGATACAATCTAAATCTAATACTTACCATACCCCCGTGTATTGCACTCATTCCTAATTTGTACTAAAATAAAAAATCACAACCATTAACTAGTTATGTAGTGGTCCCTCCAATGTTTTTTTTGTAGTGGAGAGGATCCGAATCCCCCTCAAGATATGTCCCCGCATTTTGTGCCCACAACCTAATTTAGTCTAAGAACTTCAACCTACGTACGTAGACTGAAACATGGTAGAATTCTAAGAACCGATGACGTGAGAACAAATATCAAGAGTCGCTGTATATTAATTAGTAAAATCATCGTTGTGTCGGACAAGAGATTATTTCAAGGGGTTCTATATGCTTGTATTAACCAAGTGTACGAAGTTTGGCTACCTCTAAACCAAAAATATAGAATACAAAGAGTATAACTGCAAATCATTTAGTCTATATAGCTACTACTATATCATGTACGGCTATATAGAGTGTTAGCATCCGCTTAGCATCCGTACAGTTAGTGATCTGGGAGCCTACAACTTCTTCCTCGACCGACTGATAATCTGATGCAAAATTCAAATGTTTATGGAATATGCGCAGCATTGGTTTGTTGCACTGTTTCCGTTGTTACCATCCGTACAGTTAGTTTCATGTGTCTGATAATCGTTAAGTTGCGGTTAAAGCAACCGCTTAGCATCCGTAACATCTATAACTTCTACTTTCTGAATTGTGTGTCGACTCTTCCGGTTGAAGGATCTAGCTAGCTTCGGCTCCGAGCTTGAAACGCCGGGCACCCGCGCCCCGCCGACGCTGATGCCTTCAAGCTCAATGTAGTAGAACGTGTCCGTCTTCAGGTTGCTGAGCTTTGGGGTGAACACCACCGGCCTGGATCTGGGCACCGCTGAGTGGCCGAAGACGATGGACGAAGCCCTCGGCGGGTTCGATGACGAAGCTGAAGACGTCCGGTCGACTAGGCAGTAGGAAAACATCTGGCCGAATCTCTTGCCAGCCTGCGAGGGGGACGAGAGCCCGCGCAACCCGGCGGCGGCGACGAACAGACCCTCGTTGTCGTGGCCGCAGCCGAGGGCGACGCGGCTGATGCGTTGAGCTAAGTTGACTTCGCCTGAATAACTTAACTTCGCCAGCGGAGCTAAGTTCGCCTGATAGTTTAGCTTCGCCTGAATGATTCATGCAAAGAAGAGAATAAAGAAAATGTGATTTTGATTCCTTTGATCTCGATTACAATTTGATTACAAAAGAGAGGAGAACGAAATTGGTTCTTCCTCTTTGTTTAAAACTGGGTTCTTCACGGTGGCGAGGGAGTGCCTCCCTCGAATGCTCGCGTCGAGTTTGCTCTCCGTTGACGATCCGATATCTTGATTCACTGGAACGATGTCTTCTCCTCACGATTTGACGTTGTGGAGAACTTGCGTGGCAAGTTTAAAACTCTTGATGAGTTGATAACTCTGATCGAGTTTGAACTCTTGAAAAAGAGTTGATTTGAACCGAAAGTTCGGTTAATAAGCCAAGGACAGAGGCTCCCTGTTGCTGAAGTTGAAGATGATCTTCGTTAGAAGATGATGTCGATCTCCTCAAAAGCCTGTCTCCAGTGGTCGATCCAAGCCAAGAAAATCGAACAACCCGAAGCCCTCCTGAACTGAATTGATCTTCAGTTATTTATAGAGGATTAAGGGGGTGAAACCGCCCCTTAAATCTCTCCTAAGTGGGCGAAAATCCCTCAGAACGTGGGATAACGGTTTTGAGGCCGTTCGGCTTGTGTTTGAACAAGTCAAAACACCCAACCTGGCGTTCAGAACCCAACTTCGCCTCTTAGAATTGAGACGCGAAGTTGGGTGTTGGCTGAACATTGATGAACGCAAGGGTCGCTCGCGTTTCGCCTGTTTGTAACGCGGGTCCGACTCCAGCGTTTTGATATTGTAATGTGGGTTCAACCCTGGCGTTTTGATGTTGTAACGCGGGTTTCGACCCTGGCGTTTTGATGTTGTAACGCGGGCTTCGACCCTGGCGTTTTTGATGTTGTAACGCGGGGTTCGACCCTGGCGTTTTGATGTTGAAACACGGGGAGGACCTCCGCGTCTTGCCTTGCAGAGATTATCACCAAGTAATCTCTTTTTGTCATAGCGTTGCAAAGATCATTGTCTTGTAATCTTCGTCTTGGCTCCTTGAGAATATGAGAGTCGTCAGATTGTAACTCCCGATGTTGATTGTGAAGGCTGTTGAAGTAGAGCTTCCATCAGTTGTCGTGAAGGTCGTCAGATTGTAACCTTCAGCAATCTACGCGAAAGTCTTCAGATTACAGCCTTCTGGAAGTCGTCAGATTGTAACTTCCATCATCGGTGGTTGATGGGGGATAAGCTATCTATTGTGATTTTTAGACAGCCTACAGAACCCCCTCCAAAGTTTTCGAAAGTTCGCGGTTGACTGGGACGAATTTTCGGAATACTTTGGATCTCAACTCTGATCTTGGAGCTGCTGATTCCTTGTTGTAAAGGAGTCGTTCTCTGCACTCGCTTCGAAGGCATCTTGGTTGAAGAGATTTGTCACATAGGGCCTGTGTGAAGGCATGTGCCATAATCCTGCTTCTGGAATGTTGGGGGTGGACCCTGCATTTTGAACTTGAGACGCGGACGTGACCTCGGCGTTCGGTTTTTTCATCGCGTGTCTGACCTCAGCATTTTGACTTGAAACGCGACTATGACTTTGGCGTTATCGTCTTTGCATCGCGGGTCTGACCTCAGCATTTTGACTTGAAACGCGACTATGACTTTGGCATTATCGTCTTTGCATCGCGGGTCTGACCTCGGCGTTATCGTTTTTGCGACGCGTTATCATTTTTGCGACGCTGGTCTGACCTTGGCGTTTCGATGTGAGACGCGGAGGTGACTTTCATGCATTTTTGACTAAATCTTTGAGACTTGTCTTCAGCTTATTCATTTCAAGTCTTGGCTCACGTCCATTAAGCTGGTGGGCCTGAAAACCTGCATAGGATTTTTGGCAAACCCTCAGCCATCAACGGATTTGATAAGCCTTTACCGACTACAGTTTGAGTCAGACTAG